GCTTTCCATCCTTTTGCTGACTCCAATAAATCTATGGCTTTTTACATCGGTAGTCAGTAAAGATATGATTTTGGCGTTCACTGCTTCCAAGGCCTCCGGAATAGTGAGGAACTCATTGCCTTGTAGGTATTTATCAAATTTACCACGTTGTTCCTCATAATACTTGGCATCTTTCTTCTTTAGGCCACTCTCCGCCCACGCCCATTTTTCCGGTGGGGACGTATTTTCCACCTGCTCCGGCGGCGTAGTTAAATTAGATAAGCCACCACGGCGTAACAAATAAGACATGGACTATTTCGATATATTTTTTTTATTATTATTAAATGCAGGCCCAAAATGCAAAAACAAAAATTGTGAACAACCAAATAAAATGAAAAACGTGGAAAAATAAAAAAAAATAAAACCAATAAACACGTAAGAAGTAAACCAAAGAAAAAGGTAACTAAAACAGGGGGAGGGTAAAAATACAAAAAAAAAAAAGAATAAAAAACACGAAAGAAACGAAAAAAATCGTACAAATAAATCTGCACAAAATAAGAACAAAAGAAAACTGAAAAATGAATAGTTTTAGAAAATAAAAATGAAAAACCTAAAATAAATGTTCAAACTCGAGCTTCTATTAGCTATCTTAGACAGAAAACGCCTAATATGGAAATTCAACAATTGATTAGGAAATCCGTTTATAATATGCGTTTGTTTTACGTTGTTTATTTCTTTAAAGAAAAGCGTGCGAGTGGATGAATTCTCGCGAGGAAATTTGTAATAACACCTATTTTATAAGGGCATTCACTAGAGAAATTAAGATGACAAGAGTCTTTACTAGTTGTTTTTTTTATAAACAGAAGTTTTAAAAGTATTATTACTAAAATCGACGAGAACATCTAAGAAAGGAAGAGAGAGGGTCATATATATGTGTGTGTGTGTGTGTGTGTGTGTGTGTGTGTGTGTGTGTGTGTGTGTGTGTGTGTGTGTGTGTGTGTGTGTCTGTGTGTCTGTGTGTGTCTGTGTGTGTGTGTGTGCGTGTGATAAAGTGAGTGACCCAAAAGGAAATCGTAAGTTGAAAAATGCCGTTTTAATTAATTTCCAAAAGGATAGTGCCACAAATTCATGTCCTTAATATTTTTAAATTCTTAAAATAATTTTCTTTGGAGTTGAAATTTTAGTTTACATTTATAAGAAACAAACCAAACAAAGAGTTAATTGCATAAAATTAGTTGGAAAGCTTTGGTACCAAAATACATTCTCATTTTTAAATTCTTTTAAAATTGAACTATTAAGGAAAACTTTCAATATTTATTCATTGGTTCTTGAAGGAAACAGGAAGTTTAATTAAAAAATATGATCGTAACTAAATATCGGAAGTCGAGCAATAATAAATAGAAAACACTCTGTGTGTATTTGTATGTGCGCGTGTGCGCTCGCGCCTGTGTGTGTGTAATTACGTGAGCAAATTTAATTCTATTCGAAATCATTCAATGCAAATATGACTACTGCTTATTCGAATCTTTCCCTTTCAAGAATGATGTTAACAACTCAACTACACAATGAAAAAAAAATCTTAGTATTAGAATTTTAAAATTTACAACAAAAAGGCACTCTCCTTGCAACAATTCCATGAACATTTCTAAGTTAACTGTGTGAGTCCATTCTGGAATGTCACTGACGTCACTACTTTAAGCGCTGTCGTTTTACAATCCGTAGATAACTCCAACTTTTTAACGAAAGCAGTTATTTTTACTTCCTCATAATAGAGTAGAAAAATTTTAAATTTTAATGAGAATTTTTGTTGTTTTTTATTAAAAAAGAAAAATTCAGAGGCTAACACATACAATGTAACTTAAATGAAAACTGATATTTTTATCATTAGAAAGTGAGAATTTCACAAGCAAAGCACTTACAAAACTATTGAGAAAACAAAAAAGAAAATGAAAAAAAAAGAAAGGAGAAAAACTGCTTTCGTTTAAAATTAGAATTATCTACTTTTGAAATGGCTTCTTGCCTGAAGACAGCGCATAAAATTGTGACATCACTACATTCCTGGAAGGATACACGCAATATGCACCCATTTTTATCTGTAAAGTAATTGTTTTTATGAAACCGAAAACCTCGTATGAACATTTTATCAATGTTTCATTGTGATTTGATATGATTCAAGAGAAACTACTTTGTCTTCCAAACTCATTATATAAAGGGGCTGTAGCCATATGTTTCTTTTAGAATTGGCCTGTGTAGAAATAATGGTTAGTTTGGATATCCATATGAAATCAATCTATAGATGATAAGTTTATACAATGAAATTGAAATAACTTCTTATGGTATCAATGAACTTATTTTAACCAAAAAATCATGAATTCTACAAAGTGCTTTGAAAGTTTAAAAATTTGCTTCTGTAAATTAAAATAATTAGATATATTCCCCAGAATGTAAGAATGTCAGCAATTCTGTTCTCTTCAGCCGTCACTATTAACCCTTTTACAAACGGAATTGTAATAATACCCCACCACACACACTCAGACATATTTTAAAAATGATGGCTGTCAAATTAAACGAGTATGACCATCGCTGACAATTTTATTCAATTTTTTAGTTCTCGTGAGCAATTAATTTGTAAAACCTATTTCAGATTTGGCAAACTAAGTTGTTCTGTATAGCGCCTGGCTTGTTTTGTAATGTCTGTTCAGTTTGCTGGCGGATTTCCATGCGATGGGTGGCACCGGATCAGTTTCTGCGGGGTTTTTTTTATTTTTACATACCACGCATGTTAAATTATTTTTAGCGTGGTGCTTATCCTAATTTATCAAAGGTCTACCAATATAGCTCTTCTTGTAGCTAACGAGAAATGCATTGAAGAGACATAATCTACCACATTCATCACAAGTAAAGTGATAGATTGCTCGATCAATGATGTTCCCTTTCCTAGCTGTACGCTTGACATTCGCCGAACTCTTTGCATGGAACATCTTAGTGCTTTTATGAATTGTAATCTCCACTTATTTCGATCACAAGCAGCAGTTTCTCTCTCAGAATCTTCTGTATGACAGGCTGCAAGGAACTCTTTTAAAGAATTCCTGCAGCGCTTATTTGCCAAGGTCTTATGTCATAAAGCAACTCATCATAAAGCATTTGCTTGGGTATTCTACTGTCGTCAAAGCGAGTGACATAGCCTGCCCAGTGGTGATGAATGTGAGCTTCGATGCTGATTGCATTGGCCTTTTCGAGGATCATAATGTCTGACGTATGGCGTATCCATTGGATACTAAGAATCAATCTAAAACATTGGTGATTGAATCTCTCCAGAGCGTCTAATTTCTGCTGCACATAACCCATGCCTCACATGAGTAAAGGAGGCACGTCAGAACACATACATTGTAGATTGCTATCTTTGTGCACTTCTTAAATCCTGTCTGAGAGCAGACTCGATTTTTTAGAACTGAAATATCATTAATTGCCTTCTTTACACGAACATGTATTTCATTATCAAGACTTCAGTGTCTGTTTATCGTATTCTCAAATTATGTGAATTTATCTACAACCTCCAGTTTGTGGCAATCCTCAAATATTGATAGTTCGATGTAAGTTGATCCCGGGTCAGTTTGGGGTATGACCAATGTCTTGCCCAGAATGATAGCAAGAATGAAAGCTTTGCAGGACACGAAAAAGACTATCCATCAGAGCCTATATTTATTCTTTTTCAGTGAGCAAATCATAGTCATTGGCATACAGACATGGAAAAGAACAACAGGAAAGAAATTGAGAAACAATGTAGGTGTTACAAGGTCATCTTGCTTAACATTACTTCGTATCTTAATGTTAACGTATCATCATGAAACGAGTGAACAATATCTACGAAATGGCGAGGACATCCTAAGGGTCTCAACTTATCCACATTACTTCTCTGTTTAGAGTGTTGAATGACTTGGTAAGATTTATGAAGAGAACTGAAACATGTCTTGCAGCTGTTCATTTGTCGCGTTGTAAAAATCATATCCATTAGTCCCCTATTAAGACGGACTCTGGCAGTATCGTATCCGCAATGTGAAAATATCGGCTATCGATACAGCCAGATCCCAACGAGGATTTTACCGAATGTCAAAAGTAAAGCTATATCCCGATAATACACAGTTCCATTATTTCCATTATTTCTTTGCCTTTGTACAATGGTATTAGGATCGTATCTCTCCAATCCTTTGCAACTCCCCTAGCATTCCAAATATTCAGGACGATTGTATGCATGGTAATATCAACTAAATGATCCCCACTGTTGTAATGTTCTGCGCAAGAGGCTATCGATGCTTGCTAGGCGTCGATTAATGCCTTGCTAGGATTTTAGGATGGTTCTTGATTGTCCCTCCTATTCCCTTTTGCTGTGTAGCTGCTGATTAAGATTCACCGGATGTCTGGAGGGGACCTAACTCTTGTGTCTCTATGGGTTATCTCCCTTCTGTTGCTGGGATATTACAATGCTTTCTTTTCTTTTCTTTTTTTTTTTTTTTTTTTTTTGAGAGGGTTTTTTTTTTTGGTCCGGCCACAGCCATTCTAAACCCAAATCTTCGGATGAGCTACTTTCCAAGCCATCTTCGGACTTTCCAAAGCTGCGAGAATCAAGCAAATCAAAATTGGAATCATCAGAATGAAGATCTTCATCACCCTGCAATGTGAGATTCTGAGTGGAAGAAATAGTTATGGTCTGGTTTGGGGAAGAATCAAGGTCTTGGTCAGATGAAGTGTTGGACATTTTCGAACGACTGGCATCAGTTCTAGAAATTTTGTCATGAATTTTCTTGCGTGACTGTCTAGGGTGTAGCATTTTCTGGATGGAGTTGAGGGGAGACATGACTTGTGGCTCTGGCACAGATGGTTGTGGACAAGGTGCCGACTTACATTTTGTTGACATCTGTTGGACATTTGAAGAGGAGTACGATGGATTTTGAAAATCTGTTGAAGCAACTGTTGTTGGACGTTTAACTTTTTGATAAAACTTGAGAGCGTCTTCATAAACATCATTTTGAGGACGCAAATATGTTGCATTTTGTGACAATCTCTTGCTTTTGTTGGAAACTGCTAGAAGCAGTTGATGAAGGAGTGGCAGGAAAATTCTGTTGACAACATTTAAGCTTCAATTCATTTATTTCATGTGACATTCTCGTTTCTGTGCACAGCATTTCTTGCATTTGGATGAAGTGTCTCTCCAAAGACAAATGGGATTTTCGTCGTTCGTTATCCAAAAGAGATGATAACTGGTGAATATTGGTGTGGGCGGTCATCAATTCTTGTTTATAAAGAGCGTTTTCAGCTTCAAGTTTCTGGACTGTGGAATTGATTTTGTGGAGAGTTTGTGATTGTTCATCAAGTTGCCCTTTTATTTGGTTGGGAAGCCCCAAAAATAAAGATGAACTCCTGTTTGCTGGAGTATCCATTTCAATTGGAGGTGGCAAGTTCCGAGCTCCAGCTGTGTGGAACACGTATTCTGTATCACTACCACTGCTACGTGGGTTCCGTTGGTCGTTTTCAATGCGGTTCACTGAGCGTCGATTGGTCTGTGTTCGTGGGGGACGAATTGTTTCCCGTTGTCTGTTTCCGTCGTTTAATCTTCTGAAACAGGCAGAGGTGAAGTGTCCCCACCTTCCGCAGTATGTGCACTGGTTATGAAATGCCGGGCAAGACGTCGGTCCCCGCTCATGAGGGTATTTTCCGTTGCAATTCCTGCACCGGTATTGCCGGGGATAGTTGCTTGGTCGGCGCTGTTCGTCCGCGGCTTTGTTTATTGGGGCGGTTGTAGCAGTAGCGGTGTTGTTGTCTTCCAGTCGCATTGTTTGTAGGTGCGACGCTATCGTCTCCGTTGTCCTTGCGTAGTTTATTAAGTCATGTAGTGACATATCAGAGTTCATGAGTCCCTTCTGGCGGACTTTTTCCGACAGGCAGCCTGTAATTAGTTGGGACTTCACCTCGGAATCCATGTGGGAAAAACGGCACAT